TTTTATTATTATTTACAGATTGTAAGTAAAAGAAACTTAAGGAAAGACGAGAGAGAGAGAGAGGAAATGACGCCGGCAAGAATTCAGGTATTAGTGATAGTGGTGCTGGCAGTGACGGAGGTGGTGCTTGGTGGTGGAGGGAAAAGCGTGACGTTGGCTCTGGAGAGGGCGAGTCACAAGGGGGCGGAGCTGAGTCAACTCAGGAACCATGACCTAATTAGACACGGCAGAATCTTGCAGCAACGCCCTTCTGGAGTCATTGATCTCCCTGTTGAAGGCACCTATGATCCGTTTTTTGTAGGGTACGCATATATATGATTTCACGTCGTTTCTATCTCTATAAAATATATGTGAATGCATGTATGCATATATATATATTTATTAAAGGCACAGTATTATATCAACTGATTCCTAGTCTTTGATTTTGAATTTCTACTTGTAATGATTTTATGAATAATAAGTAGAAAGTTAATTTCTTTATTAATGATTGTTATAAAATTTGGCCCTTTCTACTCAAGCTATATGTGATTTAGAGTTAAAGTACTTGTATGCCCTTTTTAACCATGAATTCCTACCATTTTTTGTTGGGATTACAATTAATAAGTGGTTAATCATTTTTTTCATTGGGCAGATTTTAATTGATTGATGTATTGGAATAGTTTATTGATTAAATTAGACCTTACTGGAGCTTGTGAATCTTACTTTCAAGGCTATACTATACAAGAGTTCATTTGGGGAGTCCTCCTAGAGAATTCTACGTACAAATAGATACTGGAAGTGATGCTTTGTGGGTCAGTTGCATTTCCTGTAATGGTTGCCCCACATCCAGTGGACTCAAAGTAAATACATCATTTGTTAATGAAAATTTTTTCCCCTTAATTTCTGTTTGAAATTTTACACAGCATGTCAATTCACTGGTAACAGATTCAGCTTGAGTTCTTTGATCCTTCGACCTCATCGACAGCTTCTCTTATATCGTGTTCAGACCAAAGGTGTGCTTTGGGAGCGGATTCTTCTGATTCAGTCTGTTCAAATCAGAACCAATGTGGTTACAAGTTCAAATATGGTGACGGCAGTGGAGCATCAGGCTATTATGTATCAGACTTGATGCATTTCGACACAATTATTGGTGATTCATCGACTTCAAATTCATCAGCACCTGTTGTTTTTGGGTAACCTCCTTATCTTTATGTTTTGTACATTAGAGTGGACCATACTGGACAGGACAGGAC